GAACATGCTCACTAGTGTAACTGATTTTAGTTTAAAATGGGACAATTGGGGCATGAATAAACTGAACTGCAGAGCAAGGAGGTTGGTTTGGTTTGGTGTTTGTTTGTTTGGGTTTTTTTTTTTAGAAATTAATCTTTTCATCACAATCTGCTCCAATGCATTGAACTGAAACTAATCGTATCTACAAATCAGCATAATAGGCTAGAAAAGGAGATTATTTTTTCCTACAGATGGGGCAGTTTGTGTGGCCTCCAAGACTCTCACAATTGTTAGATAATGTCAACAGGAAAACCAGGCTGTATTAGACAAATTAATTCCAGAATTTGGATATGCAGACTGCATTATGCCTACTACAAGGGTATGTATAACAAGTTTCTTTGGACTTGTCTAATCAGGACAGGTAGCTAGTCACCAGACTGAACTACTGGATTCTGTACCTTTAGGGACAGGAACGTTGAAATTTCTAGACTCGTTCTACATGTACAGGGCAACTCCTCTCCTGAGGCTAAGTAGAACTTTCTAAGGAGGTTTAACATACTTGAAATTTTAAGTCTTATGTTTACCTTAAGGTATTAATGTCAACTTTTTTTTTTTTTCCTGAAACACAGCAAGGTTTTCCACTGATCTAGTGGAAGGTGTCCCTGCCCATGGCAGGGGGGTTGGAACTAGATGATCTTTAAGGTCCCTTCCAACCCAAACCGTTCTATGATTCTATGATTTTAACATCCTTCATTTTGAAAAGGATTTAACTCAGAAGATCTAATGAGAGCACCAAGAATAGCAATGGTCTCAAGAAAGTAACTATTAGGCTATTCTCATGCTTCTAGAATTTGGGTAATTGAGATAATCAGATTTGCTGTCTGTTTATTTACTTGTACTATAACTTAAGTTACTGTATAACACTGTACTGTTTTTATACCAACCTATTTGAGACTAGGTCATGCTCAGTGTTTTATCTTACTGCCTGCATTTCGCAAAGCAAACAACAAGATAAGTACAACTATCAAAATAGTTGATAAGTCCACTCCTTCTCATAGTCCATTGTATGCTTGAAATGTGGCTTTACGGTCTGGATACTGTTGCCTATCCAGATATTTGGAAATCAGAGAATACCACTGTGATACTCTCAGGGCCTTTATTAAAAAAAAAAAAAAGAAAGAAAAAAACCCAAACCACCAAACAACAAACCAAAACCACAAACATCACCTTCTGTCTTTTTGTTGTTAAATAATTTAACAGTAATGCTGGATCTCTAGCATTTTTTTTTAAAATACAAATGTATATTTAAATTCAAAACATTCTGTGATTAAGACGCTCCGAACATGTTTGGTATATTGCTTAAGTGATTAATTGCCACTGTTGTAATAACTTTAATTATGAAGTTGGTATTTACTTAGTTTTGACTTTCAGATGGTGCTTTTCATTGGGTGGAAAAAACGAGGTTGCCAACTGATGTGTGAAATACCAATCTAGCCTATACAGGGGCCAGCAGTAAGATGCACAAGACCTAGAAACCCTTCTTGGATATCTTTGAATATCCTCCAGTTGCCCTCAGTCAATGAGTTAAGTACATCGTGACCCAGCAGTTGCATTCAGGCTGTCGTGATTGACAGACATGGATGTATTCGTAATTTCTGTTTCCTTTTCAAACTAATTCATAATTTGATCCCACTCTTTCACATCCACTTTTTTCCCACTGAATAATCTTGTATTGGCAGCAAACTGTTTATTCCGGAGTGACTTCCTCATTTATGAACATATCAAAGAGTACATTCTTGGAGAGTTAACGGTTACCTCCTTGCTATCGTGGAATTTTTTCTATCATGGAAATTCTGCTATCCTTCATCTGGTATTCTGAATTCTGAGTAATCTGAAAGAACTTTCTTCATGACAGCTTAGTTCTGTGGCTGGTTGTGCGTGGTTTCTTTGGTGTGGTGTTTTGGTGTGGTTTGGGTTTGTGTGTTTGGTGGGGTTTTTTTGTTTGTTTGGTTTTTTAACTGGTTGGAAGTGTGACTTTTCTAAAAAGCTGGACTCCTGATGTTCTTCCTCATGTACCCATATATCCTGTTAGTTTTGGTTTAGTTATGGTTTCAGCCAATTTGGCCACTGTGGAAGTAAGTCTTTCTGCAAGATCCTGGATATTCCTATGGCCTGTGTTTAAAGAAAGAATAAAATAAAAGGTGTGGACGTAGTTACTCCTGTCATGTGAACACCAATTTTAGTGACAGATTGCACCTCCAGTTAGTCTTACAACTTTGTGTTTGAATTTCCATCGATCTCTTGCATACTTTTGGATAAATATCAGCTGGCTGTAGTGATTTGTTATTATTTTCTATATGTATCTGTAGATTCCTGTTGTAAAACCTATTCTACTTCAGTCTGAGACTGTTCTTCAAACCTGTCGCACGTAAAAAAGGGTGCCTCTCATGTGGAAATGTTCTTCAGCAGTGAACACGTGATGGAGAAGGATGAACTATGGCCTTATCTTCCGCGCATGCTTTTTTATACTTCAATCATTTATCAGCTGTAGACTCTCTGGCAGGATTCCTGCTTCTGGTTTTATTATTAGTATGTATCTCTTCAACAAGTTGTTCAGGCTTTTTGGCTTGTCTCACTGCAGTTCTAACCATTTGCCTGGCTGGTGTATTGGATTTAGTATAAAAATGAAGTATTTTGGGGTTACATACATGCTATGATTTCTTGTTGAGTACTTCTCTATTGCACTGCCAGTTCACATTAACAATTAGTGTCTTTGTTTATAGCAGTTCCTTCTGAAATTCAGATTTTTCTTAGCATTTACTGATCATTGACAGGTGCTTAAGATGCTGGGAACTGAGATTCAGGAGACTTCCTTAATGCCTCTTCCAAATATTACTGGGCAGACTGTACAGTGAATAAGCTTACACATATCAGACAAAATTGTCTTTTTTTACCCCTTTAATGAATATGAAACTGACCATATGAACAATGAAATATTTAAGATGAAAGCAATTACAAAGGTACCATTGCACTCCATGGTATGTCTAGGTCCAGGATGCTTGTGTAACCTCCTGCCTTTATTTTTTTAACTACACGAAAAAATGCCATTTTACCTCAGGTCTTCTGTCTCATTCGGAGTGTAAGACTGACTGTACTGAGTTAGTGCATAAGGTTGTATGGAAAATGACTGGGAGGAAAAGTGGAGAAAGGACCACAATTCTCATTAAGACACTTCAATGTCACAAAGCGGTAGTGGACTGAAACTTTAATTTTGTTAGAGTGTCTGTATAGAGCTCAAAAAGAAAAAAAAATAGAATCAATCAAACTTTTAGACTGGATAGATTAATTGGATGAAATCACAGAATAACTTATCTAAGGCTTTGCGTACAGCTAGACAAATATAGAAGGAAGCATCACCAGACTTTTCGTTTTCAAGGCTTATGTTTTAACCAACAGTTTCAAAAAGTAGTCCTTAAAGCTTTGACGCTAGGCACTGTGGGGTTGATGATGGAAGTTTCCTCAAAAATAGTTACAATTTCAAATGCCATGTAGTGAAGGGATAAATCTCAGTATCTTGAGCAGTTCCATAAGTACAAGTATTATGTTACTGAATTAATCAGTTTGTAAAAGCGTTTGTAACAACATTTTTTTGCGATTTTGATAATGTTTTGTTAATCTGTGACTGGGGATCAGCTGATCCCGCCTGGACAGGTTTATTACCATCGTGATAGTCTCTGGTCTTACTGCATTACAGATATAAAGTGTCCTAACTGTTGAACTCCTACATTTCTAATACTGCTGGAGACTTACTTATTATGAATTCGTGAAGTTTTTCTCATGTCACTGTAACTAGCAGTTTTACGTAGAATCACGTAGTCAACTGTGTTATGTTTTCACCCTTCCCGCATTAGCGCGAACAAGAAAATGCAATGGCTCACCTTAAAAAGCAGCAACAAGAGCTGGAGCACTTGAGGTTGCGCTATTTGGCAGCGGAAGAAAAAGAGCTGGGGAAAACAGACCGACAAGAGTTGGAGGATATCAGAAATGAACTTAACAGGTATAAACGCGTTTGTAATTCCTTTTTTCTTCCTCCCCATCCTTCTCTTTTCTTGCTGTCTGCCTCGAATTAGGAGAAGGTTCAGTTAAATCAAATTTATAGTTGGCTCTCAGTCCACTGAAAGAACACAGTTCAATGTCCTTAAGTAAAGATTGCACATTTAGAAATTGCAACAGTACTACAGTATAGAAAAATCTATAAAAGAGGCATGTACTATTCATATTTTGAATACATTAAAAATTTAAATCTAGCTAATGACTTCCTCCAAAAACTACCTGCAGTAGTTCTGTATGTTTAATCCTTTTGAGTGCTCTTTGAGTGACCAAAACAGGAGCCTTGATGGTTATGTATGCATACTGAAAAGATGCTTAAGTATTATGTTAACACTTCTTATAGTTGTGTTTTTCCTAAAGAGAGGATAATTTTTTTACCTTTTATAGATTTTGTTATTTTACTCGCTTTTCAGTAGATAAAGACATCATATGAAAATAACCAGCGGTTTTCAATATGGCTCATCCTCTGATTCTTTCCATTTTATCAACATCAGGCTAAAGCAACAAGAAGAAGAGAGAAAGCAATTGCAAGATGTTAGAGATAATTCTGCTGGTAGAGTGGATAGTCTTCATTCTAGAAAACTGAATGAGAATATGGGTGACTATCTCTCCCGTCTGATAGAAGAGAGGGACACCCTGCTGAGAACGGGAGTGTACAGTCATGAAGACCATATTGTAAGTGAGCTTGATCGTCAAATCAGAGAGGCTATTGCAAAAGGGAACATCACTAAGTAAAAGCATACGAACAGGTGTTAACAAGAGCCAAAGCTTGATAAATATGAGTGATTTTTATAAATCCTTACTCTAATTTTAAAATATGTAAGGTTATGCTTAATTTTGCACACTATTTTTAGCTCTTTTTGAAGTCAATGTAAATATTTGCTTCATGAGAAGTTAAGCACAGTTGGAAGTTTTACAGAGGGGATGGCTGTTTTTTAATGTTTCTATACTCGTGTATATATATGTAAATATATTTTAACTTGTATACTTTCCTCTGAAATGTTTTCTGCCTCTTTTTGCATCACCCTGGCTAGGTTTACTTGCAACATTTTTAATCTTCATTCTAAGATTCTTGGTCAATATCATAATTTTTTTCCATTTTTAAAAGGATCTCTTCAGATATACTAGAGAAGAGGGACACCAGCTGTTTTCCCAGGTAGAACTCTTAATTCTGAACCAAAGCGCAGCACTGACCAAATGTCACTTTTTAGTAAATCACAAGGTAATCAGTTTTTGCTTCTCCTACTCCAGTTAAGATAACCAAGTTCTGTAGTAAATAAGAGACAAGGTTAGGGTGGTTTTTTGGGGGTTTTATTTGTTTGTTTGCGAGGGGGGAATTCTCAAACCTTAAGAAACTGAAACTGAATGAATTTTTAAGTAGCCAGCCTGCTTGTACAGGATGAAAATCCCTTTGTTGCCCTAGCAGTTTTGCACACAGGACTGCAAGGGTGAACCCAGGAGGGTAAAAACCTAGTGCAGAAATATACATGTGTACTTGTGTCCATCCCTAATGAGGAAGGATACTTGAAGCACTAACTCAGTGAATTTATATACTTTAAATTCTGAACACATACATAAAACGACCTTTTCTACATAAAGATGATTCAATCAAGGCCTAACCACTTTGCAGCTACTTAACGTATGTTTCAAAGAATGTTGCCTCATTACTACTGAAACTGTATGTAACGTTGGTTTGATTTTGGAAGTATGAACAGGGCATGGTCTCAATGCCAGAAGAAATATCCACAAGAAATGTTAGTTCGTGCATAATCACAGTTCAGAAAGGTTTGGTTGGCAGCCTTCATTCTATTAGTAGTTTTGCAAGCGTAACGTTAATTTACAACACTGTCCTTTCAATAGGCATTTTTGTCTGCCCTGTAGGCACAAATGCTTCTCTACTTGAAACTCAAGTACTGAAAACGACGTGGGATTTGTTATTTGTAGTATGAACAAAGATACCAATGCAAAAATATTTTTTAACATGAAATCTGTGAACTTCCATGGATATGGCTGTAAACATGTTTTGTATGGTATTAATTATATTTTTTTAATATTGTATCTGTCTTTACCTCTAGGTGCATTGTTTTTCTTCCCTACCATGAGCCTATCTCCTGTTAAATAAACTACTAGTTTAGGCTCCTTAGAAAAGTTTTAAACAAACTGTATGAACGCAGAGGTCATATTCTGTGAAGAATTATCACTTATCAATACCAGACTTTGTAATCATTTTTTTTAATACTTTGCACACTCTGCTGTAGTTTTCAAATTAGTGTGCTTAAAGAGATCCCTCTCTGCTAGCAAAGCAATTAACACCTTCATAAATCCAATACAAATCCACAAAATGTAACTTTACAGTTTTTTTCCATCACGACTTTGTCATACCACTGGTGCATCATCATATGCAATTACTGTAAATTAATCAGGGAGCTTCTACCTTCACAGGAAGACTTCCTCACACCGGTTTTTCTTCCAATGCATTTTTCATTGCTAGAGGTGTAGTTTGTTTTTCAAACGCTGGAGGGTGCCTTAGACCTAAAGATCACAAAGATTGTGTTGACTAAATTTTTGTAACTCGTGATTTTTTTTTTAATGGTATTCTGTGTCTTTTCAGGTGTGTTACTTTATTTAATAAAAAATTGAAATTTTAAGTAAGTATTAAGGATTTTGTATTTATTTTTCAACTGTGTATTTGAACAAAATTTTGTTTCCTGAAATATGACGGTCTTTAGTGCTTGCATCCATAAAATTGACAAGTTCACTTTCAAAGTTAATTCCACTTTCTAATTGAGTCTGTCCTCTGGCTCGCAAAGAAAATGTCAGTCGTGTTGCTCTGGGGTTTAAAAAGAAACTACTTAGGTTTTCTAGGAAGAAAACTCACCTAAGCGTTGAGTAAAATAAAAGGTAGAACACTTGGTTTTTTGTTGGTTTTTTTTTAAATGTTTATAAACCTGATAATTTATGCTATTTGGGTCCATTTTTTCTTGTGAAAGGTCATGCCTCTTGCCTTGTAAATAGTGAATTTTGTTATTATTAGTAAAACTTACTTAGTATTTTTATTTTGTTACATTCATTAGCTTTAGTGTTTATAGTTTGTGTTAGAATGAGAAAATTAATCATACTCTAAGATTAATGTTTCAATTTCTTTTCAAGATTTTGTTCTTTGTTCTGAAATACTCTAGAAAAACTGCATTTGTAGTAGGTACTTATAGTAGAGATGAGCTCACTAGTACTCTTTCTTAAAAAATATTTTTTTATGTTGTGTTCCATTTGACTTTTTATTGCCTCAAAACTATTTTAAAGGTTATAGCTGTTCAGTGGAAAGATCAAATACCATGTTTTAATCAAAAATATCTTTATTTTATCTTAATGTCTCTTCGTGGCAAAAGAAACACCATTTGAAGTGATGCATGAGATAACAAGCGTATTTTAATTTACCCAGCATAAGACGACTGCTGGAAATGAAACCCTTGGGTTTGGGTCAGTCACGGTTCTGTATGCCTTAGAAAAATGGGTGGGAAGAGAAGCAACAGCCAGGCACTCCTGGCCTTCTGGAAAATGCCTGCTGTTGATTGTAGCGCACCCAGGTTTCACTAGGCAAGTTGATGGAGTTATTTCGGTACTCTTCCGACAGGTCGCTGTGAACCCAAATGCCCATAAAAATCAGTAAATGGAGGGTGGGCTATGTGTGCTGTTCTATGGGCAAACCAATTCCAGATCCTTATGATTCAGGCCCAGAACCTGCAGTTGGTTTTGATAAGGAAACTTTGATTATATCCTGCATTTGTCCAATACAACCTTTTAAGAGAAAAGCATTAGCCCACCTGAAAGCAAGGGCGTTTAGAAGCACTGTCCTTTTTTTTTTTTTTTTTTTTCTGATAATCTTGAGCCAGGTGATCCCGCCCTGTCTCTGTATGTGCTAAGTATCCTTGCAGTGGTGAGGATGCGGTATTGCCCGTCTTTGCTGCCAAAGCCTTGCCTCAGATTATTTAGCATAGGCTGAAAAGGTCGGAGCAAATCTGGTTGTGATATGCTTATACACCTGTATGTGGAGCGTTAGCGAAGGCTGAGAGCTGCTGCAGAGGAATGGATCCTTATTCCACGTGTTGATGGTTAGACTGTCAGAAAAATTGTCTGTAAATGCTTATTTATTTAAGCAGTGGAATGCATTATGATCAAATATGATGGATTATTTTAAAAATAAAACAGCAGTGCTTTGCTTTTATTTGGATTCCTTAAATACATAGCTACATTATTGATCTTTCCAGTATACTGCTTTTTGGGGTGAAGCTATAACCACTGTTTCTGTGCTGTTTTAGCAGTTATCCAAAACTTCTAACAGGAATACGCTTTCAAAACTGCTGTTGCAGAAAAGAAGCGATGTTATGTCTGGCACTGAGCTTCCAAGTATTCAATCCGTGGTTCTCCTTCACTGCAGTTGAAACGCTTCTCCCTTCCATCCACCGAGATAAACCTTAATGCACATCTGAAGACGGAAGTGCTTTATCATATCTTGGAAGTGCTACTGAAGTATTTACACCAGTTATTACATATTTACACAATTAGTTATTTTGCTACTACTGTGCCTAAATGATCATGACCTGTGTCAAGCCTCGGATAGGAAGCACTAGCCCCGCTATTGTTCGAGACAGAATTGTAGAAAGGCGGCTGCATACTTAGATCTCATTTCATTTGTTTCTCCAGGGGGTTGTATTAGTAGTGTTTTCATTAGAAATGTTTTTACAGATGTCGGCTATCCAGATATGAAGTCTCCGTGGTGGAGAAGCAGTCAGGAGTTTGGCATTCAGAACTGAAAGAAAAAAAAAGTCAACTTTGAGAGACTAATTTATAGAAAAATAATTTACTGACTTTCTGATGTATAAATGTACAGTAACCCCATGGCGGCTTTAATGCAGAGTAATTGAATTCTTGCAAGTACAGTTATTTTCTATTCTTAACTCGAAGAAACACTACAGCCTGTCGTTCCCCATCACTGAAGACTAAAATAGTCCCCATTAATAATGTCTCTGGAAAAGTGACACCTACTACTTTGTAGCATGGTACTTTTTTTTTCCCCCTTCTCTCCAAGTGAAGTACTTGTAGTAGTTTGACAGCATTTTAAACAATTTATGTATTACTACCATAAGTTTTGTTCTAACAATACACATAATAATGCACAGGGAGTGGATGATTATGGAAGTGTAGTGTTACTGGATGTTGGACCCAAGGGTTTTCATGCAGTTGCCAAGACATAACTGCACTGACAAAACAAAAGGGCATCAAAATGTAGCGTGGGCTTACTGGGGCAGATGGAGTCTGGTGGAACGGTCTGCAGCCTCATACTGCGTAGGCAGTTACTCTACATTGCTCATAGCTTTAACTGTACTGTGAAAAAAAGCCCTAAGAATTGTTGCCGGAGGGCTATGATTTACTATGACTATCATAAGTGTTGCTTCACAAATATAAATACTAGTAAGGCAGCAAAAGTAAATCATTGGATTTTGAGTTTAGCAGCCAATCAGCCTAATATATGTTTTGTAGAATTTAAGTTGAAATGGTAATGATAAGTCTTCAACATTTTTGCATTTCCTTAATAGCTTACCAGAGTGAGGGGGATTTGGAGGTTGGATTTTTGACCTCTGGAGGTACAGAAAATTATTTTATTCACCTAATGTTAAGAGATTTTGCTTGTTCAGGGGTACCAGACCGTTGTCTTCCTCAGAAGGCTATTTTTGGCA